CCAAACAACAATGCGGTGGGGGTGGAGAAAAGTGGCAGCTTTAGGCACGGAACTGTCGATGGGAAGAAGAAATTACACAAAGTAGGGCGCCCTCGACAGCTGGAGCCTTCAACTCAAGCGTGAAGCCGCAACATGGTTACAGTGTTCTCGGCGTTTTCCAGCAATCCAGTTTGGTTCCCGGTAGTACAGTCTGACATTTCTGAGAGACGCGGCGCCCGAATCAACCCCAGGTCTGAAAGTCTGAACCTCAAAACCAGACAGCTAAATCTGTCTGGGGACACCATGCGTATGCATAATTGACACACAAACTGTCAGAAAGCTGCTGATATGAGTCAATGTGAGCAAATATAAAACTCTTTGATTCCATTGCAGATGGCAATGCAGGGTATGCCCTGCAATCTTGACCCTGGTACCCTGAGCTCGTGAGTAAGAACAGTCCTGGGACTCGCTACTAGCAACATCCAGGGTCTAGGGTTTAGGACCTAGGCTTTGTGGTTAGGCTTTATGGTTTGGGACTTATGGTATATGCATTGGGTTTAGGGTCGCAATCGGCTTTGCAAACAGTACATGCATTTTCAAACCTTCCTGGCAAGTGCTCAGATCCCCCCACAGCCCAGCTTCTGATAGCCCACATGGCCCCAGGAGACATCCAGGTGCTCTGCTCGAGCTTTAGGAGATCCATCAGTGTAGCGAGACCCCTTACCTCGCCTGGGCGATGAGATTCATTGGGAGGTGAGGCTTGCTTCATTGGCTAGTAGAGAATCACGTGGGAAAATGAAATCACATGGACATTGGAAATATGTAGGTTTGGAGGTTTAGGAGTTTACTTGGAGAGTCGGAGATACTCGTTAAGTAGACTAGTACTCGAGATAAGTGGCATTGTTGTATGGCTGATATGGGTCATAGCTATACTTACCAAGTCCCCCTGATCCTTCAAGTAGGGTTTGGGGAGTAGGGTTTGGGGTAGTGGAGTAGGGGATTCAGGTAACCCCAAACCCTAAACCCGTTAAGGAAGCTGGGAATGAAGACAGGCATGTTGTGCCAACATACGATAAGGGTCTCCACGCTAGGATGTTAAAAAGTGGGGAGCTATGCTGGAAAGCGACACAATATTGAGAAGCCATATGCTGCCCATACTGGATCCTGAATTGTCGGGAAAACGTCAATGCGTAATGGGTTGTGGTCTCCCACAATGGCATACAAAGCGACACAGGATTCTGACCGCAAAGCTTTCAGATTTCTACACGACCAGGCGGGCATGGATCATAAAATCCTAGGCATGCTTCTTAATGACCAGCATTGTAAGGTTTAGGTTTAGGAATCTTTCGTTTTTACGAGGTGTATAGGGCCAGGGCTTTCCCACGAGGGCTGCGCACATGTCCTTTAAGACCCCACCTCGGCTAGAGCCATAGAAACGGTCTTCCTTATAACTAGAACAACATAAGATAGAAACAGCCTTGGTAAACAAAAAACTAATGCTTTTGGACCTTGAAGTCAAACTGCAGCCCTGAAGGTTCATCCCGGAGGCTACAACCTTCACCCGGATGAGTAATTTAGCATTTAATTTAATATGCGTCTGATGAGCCCGCAGACGCAGAAAACACATGCTGAAAGGGTGCGGGTTGCTTGTCAAAGTTGCAATGGATCCTCTCAAAGCCTTTCTTGAAGTCCTCCCATTCCATCCAGAAGACACCATTGTCCTGTTATCCATCCACAGTCTCTAGCTCATGGGGGTTAACAACTTAGAGCTTGAAGAATGCGGAGCAGCTTTTGCGCTTCGGCAACCCTGCCTTCCTAACAAACTACAATCCCACTATATCCCCACACCAGTATAGTCTCCCATATTATCTTACTACCTTTGTACTCCTTGTAGCCGATTGTGTGGTTGCAAGCCCGGAGTGCTTCCGGATACTGGTTCCAAGTCTCCTTGCAGACGGGTCGCGACTGATAATAGTAACACCAGTGACAGAGATATTTGCCAACAGTAATACTGACAAATATGACAGTCTGTAGGGCATATAGGAATAATGGAAAGTCTAAAGGCAAATGGAAAACTGAAATGAGAACTAAGGTTATACATTGGTTTCTAAAGATAATTCCCTGGGCTATAGTTCTAGATTCCTTCTATAATTGGCCCTGACTAAGAAATTCTGAAAAGTTGCCAGTATGGACTTCTGCAGAGAATGCTCTCAAATTCTGGAATGCTGTAACAAAAAACCGGCTGACGAATTGACATGTCGGGTCTCCGCATCGGTATCGCAAAAGCGGCCCCTCCACTCGTTCGTTCGATGCGGATTTCCTGATGGGTGCGTGTAATTCCTCTTCTAGTATTACTAATTATTGCTATTATTACTACTATTTCTTGTATTATTCTTGTTGTTGATATGAAGCTCTGGGCTTTCCAATAAATGTGGCTGCATTAGACTGGAAATGTTTTAAGGGGGGTGGAGACAGCAGTGTTAGTCAAGGTGGTGCAAGTGCAACGACAAGTTTGGCGACGAGGATACCCACAACTTGAAGGAACAGGATTGCCCCTTATGACCTCTTGATAAAGCTTAGAGAAAGTTGAAGCCACACAGTTTTTAGTACACTGGACTTACTGGTGAAGAGACCAAAACGGGCGCCGCTTGGTATGTAGAGGGTTCGGGGTCTGGAGTAATATGACTTGCAAATGTCGAATACATTTTAAGTGTACGTCATCGTGAAAGCCGACCACACCCTCTACTGGGAGCTCTGAAATTCCTTCAGAGGCTGCCTGAGTAGCAGCAACTATACTGGTAGAACATTCAGGAATGATTCTCCATTAGTACTATATATGATGCAATCACATGAGCATAGTCTGCACTCCTAGCATCCCCGTAACAAAGCCCAAGGAATGAATCCCAAAAACATGTCTACACTACCCCTGACGGCTATGAAGCTTCGGTCCTGTCTAAGTCAGGATGCAGCAAGCACTTCATTAACTTGCCGAACTGAAGCTATTCTGTGGCTGATAGGGACTGTAAGTATAGTTTCTAAGCCACTCTGACCCTCCATGCGTTGGGAAGCTAAGAGGCAAAGCTTGCTGGAACAGAGCCATGTCACGCACGTGAAGCATGCGCAGCACGCTGGCTGCACCGTTACGAGTGATCCCAACCTCCACCTTAGCAGCATGTCTTAAACGCCTGTGTAAGTTTGTCTGCCTTAGTGGGATGGGAATGTCAGGATGTACGGATGCGGGCAGCACCCTTCATCTCAGTCTCCCCTCCTTTTAGGAAAGTAGCGGGAAGTAGCAAAAAGGCTAGAGGACGTTATGCACTGCATTGGTTATTTGTAGAGATGTTTTGTCCAGAGCATCCACGCCACCACTCTCAGCAACGTGTAGGCATGGCCTGCCAGGATTCCCTGATACTCGCCGCGGCTGCTGCATGCGATGCTGCAGCCATTCCTATCCTGAGCATGGACCCCCCTTCCATAAACATCTACCCTTATTCAGCTCATGCCTGTTTCTCTTGAATTTGGGGCGTCCAAGAACTGGGCCCCTTTGCCCGAATCCATAATAAGGATTAAACCGTTCTAGGGTATATGAGATGGACCCAGATGTTTGGAACTAATCATTTTTATTGAAACTTGGCAGACCCTAATAGGCGGCAACGGCTCATGCCATGTTTGCTATCGGAGCATCCAGGTCTATAGCATCCACGAAAAGTTCTGCTTTACGGCAAAGATTCGCGAAGAAATGTCACGCGTCCGAGGCCACTTAAAACCAAGACTGGAAACCAAGAAGAAACATGGAGGCCCCCAGAACTAGCTTCATCATTACTCTGGCCCGGGGACCAGTATCACCAAACGTTCACGACAACAACGGCAAACGCATGGGTCAGTAACTTTTGTTGCAGTAGTGCTGTCTTCCTGTGACGGGGCTTAAGGCCATCCCATATCCCTGTCAGCAATCCTGGCATAGTCCGTAGGTCATCTCTCTTCCATCATCCATAAGCATTCCTTATCCTTCTTATCCAGCCCGAAACACTCCCTATAGTCAATCCAGGTAAACCCTATTCAACGCCTTTACACCCTGAACCCCAAGCCCTCAACCCTGCAAGCTATAGTTGAACCTTGCCGAACACATGTGAGCTAGAGTCTAAGCTCTTAGTATCCCCTTAATAACCCCTGCTCCCCTATATGACCCCCCCTTTCAGGAGTTTAGACTACAGCTCATATGATGCCTAAATCAGCTGTCCCAGGATTCCCAGGTTTGGAGCATCCTCCAGAAGTGTTCATCCTGCAGAGCATTCTGGCCGCCAATCATGGCTGAGGCATCCTCACCGAAATAAGTCCTTACGGAGGTGTAGGGATTTAGCAGCTCAGGGTTCTTAAGGTTTGGGATTAAGGGGTTTAGGAGCTTTGGAATTAAAGGGGTTTACGGGTTGGGGGTCTCGGGGTAAGTTGTTGGAGTTTGGGGGGTTGGACCAAGGGCTCCGGGTTTGGGATTTAGGGTTCTGGGGCTTGGTTTCCAGGATCTAGGGGCTTGGAGGTTCAGGATTTCGGGCGTCCAGATTCAGAATGAGACGCGGCGACCCCAGACCCGGACTTGTACCTTACTGGCTCCTAGGGAACAAGGGACTAATCAACATATGATACATTCGCTTATCCCCTATTAATCCCCAGTAAGAAAGGTCCTTAGCTGAGCTTGCCGTCTTGTTGCCTCTTTGAACTTTGGACAGCCTATAGCCTTTTTCACATGTGGGGTTGCTGCGGAAAAACCATTCATCTACTCTGTTGAGCCCAAGGCTGTGGGTGAAAGATCGAACAACCGTGAGTTTTGCATAGAAATGCAGAGGCGCCTATCGTCACATGGAAGACATAAGCATCTCACACCCTGCTGACCTGCCACATTGTCATGTGGCCCTCCAAAGACTTTTGCAGAGGTAACCCCTACGGACATGACCTGAGACAAGTTACTATAGTTGCTTCCAATGGTCCTAGATTCCGAAACCAATTCTCAAGAACATCCAAGGGTCCACTGCGCATCAAAAGCTTCAATCCGCATGCGGACTGTGGCGTGGCGAGCTGTGAAGGGTTCTCGGCCACATTCCTGAGCCATTTACGCATCATAGGACACGGAAAGCCGGAATCTCTCATAGTAGCGAGCTATATATGTTCATAGAGAACGTAAATTCATGTTCAAAACTGATGCAGACTCATAAGTGAACGGCCTGTGCGTGCCATTCGCTGCAGTGTCCAGAGCTACACACCTGGAGCTGCTGGATGTAGAAGCTGAAGCTTTGCTTAAGCCAATAGGTGGCCCAACTCACAAAGTAATTAATACCAACTTCTTTCTGTGAACAGCCCTGGCACAGGGATGGCTTTCCTGTCAGCATCTCCATCGCAACGCACTCAAAGCCACCATCCAGGCGGTGGTAGGATTTCACAAATTTGGCGACTGCCTTCTCCAGCAAACATGTCCAGAATTCGTTCTCTTTCGTGGGCTTGGCGAAGCAAAGGTTCCCGTATCTGCCTGGCCTCTTTGAGAAGGGGAGGCGGTCATCAATGGTGACCACCACCCACTCTTCTGCAAGTGGATCGTACAGCCTGGCAAGAGCAAGTCTCCATGCAGCTCGGGCGAGTTGCTCAGGGCTCACTTGAAAGCAATGGTCGCATGTTTAACCTCTGCTTGGGCTGACTTTGGGAAGGTGCCTTTCCCTATTTTGCAGAGGACACTGCTTGGCCTTATATGCCTTGCTGCTTCCCGAAAGCGGATGTGGTATCCTAACCAGATGCCCGCCTCACGTCGTACCTTCCATCCTCGGCAAGGGTCGTCTGCTTAAACAATGATCGCAGGCGGTCCGGAAACTCGGCGATGGCCGCGAAGGAGGACACTAGCCAGCAGTCACCCAGATAGCCTGGGCTGAAGAAAGGAGAGCTTTCCTTATGCGATCACTCCTGAAACTTCTCGATTGCATCCTGGCAAGGGATTAAGACAACTTCAAGGACAATTGCATGAGCACAAATCTAGAAGCCAATGAAACCTCATCCTGCATCACCTCTGACAGGGATTCTCCTCCCAGATATTCAAAGACATACCGTTATCGGTAATGATCCAGATTAGACAGCAGTACTGCGGCGGTAGAGCTTTCTTGCAAATTAAATACGAGTACATGAAAGCTTGAGATCTTCAAGCTAACGAAGACCCCTGATTCAGAAACCCCCTCCCATTCATGGGGGTTATAAGGGGGCTCCTAACATTAAGGCCCTTAAAAGGAGGGGGCTTGTTAATCAGGGGTCTATGTTAACAGGCGAACCTGTATATGGCAGTTTCCATTTAATTTTCCATTTTCTTTTCCATTTGATTCTGCAGTATTGGGCTAATATCCCCTCACATCCCGATATACCCCTCCAAACCAATTACAATAATTAGCCTATTATAACCCTAATATATACCCTAATATAATCGCTTCCATTTTGTTTTCCATTATCCATATATAACCCCTATATAACCCCCCTATAACCCCTATATAACCCCTATAATCCCTCTAGTTTCCACGTTAATTTTCCATTCTCCCCATATAACCACTAAATATTCCCTATGCAACTCCTACATAACATCTATACAACCCCTATAATCCCTCTAGTTTCCACGTCATTTTCCATCATCCCCATATAACCCTAATATATTCCCTATATAACTCCTATATAACATCCCTAATATAACCCCTATATAACCCTAATGCAACCCCTGTATAACCCTAATATGACCCCTATATAACCCTAATATGACCCCTATATAACCCTAATGTAACCCCTATATACCCTAATATGACCCCTATATAACCCTAATTAAAGGACCGGAGAACCCCACATGTGTGGTTGGGCATGAATCCAAGCGAGATGATATTAGGACACTGTCGCCCACCGACATAAGAAGACATGTATACCTAAACCCCAAAAGTATGTAAAATAATAGCCCTAAACCCTTAAGAATAGCCCTAGGCGCCATTATTTTACATACTTTTGGGGTCCAGGTAAAAGAATAACAAACTCGCGAGACGACGCTCCGCGATGATACGATGAGCACATTGCGCGAGCGCGAAGTCGGGGCCCAACATGGCAGTTGCCCAAAATAGGGGAACCCAAATATAGACCCCAGAATATTACAGTCCTTATTCTTGGGACGGTACCCCTCATCTTGGGAAACCCTCATGTAACAACCCCTATACTAACCCAATATAACCCTATACCCTAAAACCTAAACCCTAAACCCCTAAACCCTAAACCATACTAACAGCTTGGTGGCCTTGCTCAATGTCCCGGGGCGAAACATGCTTGAAGAGGCAGGGTTCACCTTCGGAGCCATAGAGCTTGTACTGCCTGCACAGGTAATGTAGTAATAAGGGGTTATGAAGGGGTTATATAAGGATTATGTAGGGAGTATATGGGGATTATATAGGGGTTGTATGAGGGTAATATAGTAATACAGTGTTACATAGCTAGGGAGAATGGAAAAGACAATGGAAACTACTATTTCGGGGGGCTTAATGTAGACCCCTGATGAATAACCCCCTCCTTTTAAGGGCCTTCATATATGAGGATCCCTATTATAATCCCTATAAAGGGGAGCGGGTTTAAAAAAACAGGGGTCTGGGTTAGGGTGCGATGTTGGGATGATCACGATGTCTCTCTGAGCAATGTGGCCCTACAACCTATAGCCCGATATACCCCTTTAAAGCGACCTAGGGTTTCCATTTCATTTTCCATGTTCTTTTCCAGTTGATTCTCCATTGTGGGGGCAATATCCCCACATATCCCTACATACCCCTTTTTACCTTCTAGAGGCCCCTGTCAGCCTTAAGATCCTCAAGAATCTCATGAGCCATGGTCTAAACTCCTAGTATCCCCCTTAATAGCCCCTATACTACACCCCTATATAATCCTTAAATAACCACCCCTTTAAGGAGTTTAGACTATAGAATCTCATGGCCCCCCCCTAATGTTGTGAAATCTCCGGCCTGGCTTGGCTGCCGATCAGCTGGGTCGGACGTGCCCAGCCAGGCACTACGGTCTTCATCATATCCTTCCATAGATGATAGGGTTTAGGGTTTTGGGTTTAGGGATGAGCTTCAGATAGATATGGGCCCGGAACAAGGACCACAAATTGTTGCAGGGATTGAGAAGACTGCCCATATGGACAGTGAAGGAAACGTCAAATTTGTGAATTTTGGCAGGGCCAGTTCGAGCTCCAGGAGTGGCCAAGGGAGAAGGCCTTGTAGCTTCTTTCAACCCCTGTTACTTGCGCCTCCTTAAAAGCATCCTAAACTTAAACCCTATAGAAAAGAAACTCTTGAAGGCGAAGGGCTCACGGTTTAGGCTAAGTTTACTGCAAAGCTATGGGATCCTATACTTTTTTCAGAAACAAAACCGGAGCAACCCCAAACCCTGAAGCTCAAAGCCATAATAATACCAATATTCATAGTAATATATAATAATAATACTAATAGTACTATTAATAGTAAGATCATGGGTTAAAGATCTCCTGTAGGTACGTGGCAGCAAGGGGGTTGGCACCATCCCCCGTGACCCCGCCGAGACTGGAGTCATCGGCTGGAAACTCCTGGCTGCGACTTAGTATGTTATGGCATATTGGGTGCTTCCGTTTTCTTTGCCATTATCCCTATATCGCTCTATATTATCCCAGGATTATCACCATCTCGTTCGGGTCTCGATTTCGCCTCGAGGCAGAGCTTGCCCCAAACTCAGGCAGCTAGCAATCAAAGCTGTCTAGGAAGAATTCCTGAAAACAGTTAATGTCGCGCAGGTCATTTAGCAGAGGTTCATCGATGAACTGAGCAACAGATTTAATCTCATTGCTTTTTGACTGCACATCGGTTTTCCTTCAAGGGCCTCAGAAATCTCAACTTGTTGATGACCATGGGTTTTCTGTCCAAATCCAAGCAGAATCATCTAGGATCGTATTTCCAGACCCCTTGCTTGGAGTCTCAGCCGAGGCTCAGGCCAGTACCATACCTACGAACCCTGCCACGACCCTTCAAGTAGCCTAAATACAATCTCTGTAAGTCCCTATATCAGCCCATTTCATTTCCACGTTCCTTTTCACTTTGTTCTCCGTTATTGGGATAATATAATCCCATAATCCGAACCCTAAACCTATCCTAAACCTTAAGCCCTAAACCCCTAACCCTAAATCTTAAACCCTAAATCCTAAATCCTAAACCCTAAATCCTAAACCTGAACCAGGGTTTACTTGACGAAGGATAAGGTGCCGCGTCTTCGAACAGGACCTGGGGATTCGCAGCGGCAGGCATGAAGCTTAACTTCTGCTCATCTGGGAAGTCATACCTTCGAGACACGGAATTTGGGAGTTCCCCAAAATTAGGGAACCCCAATATAGACCCCAATATATTATAATCCTTATTATACGGACCCCAAAAAAGGTACGCCTAATTTTGGGAAACCTCCATTTTGATTTGAGAGGAACTTGTCCATTCCTGTGTGAGAACAATCTTACAGCAAAATCCGAAGTCTTACCTTTAAGACATAACCCATTGGGTCAGAGCAGTTCTGCAGAGGGGTAGAGTGCTTAACAATTAGGGGCGTTTGGAAAAGGGGTTCTTGAGTAGGGGCTGATTGTTTCTTGCTGGATACCTAATCTTATAATGGTCAGAGAGCACGACCTGATTCCTTGCGGTGTCATCGTCACAAGGAGTCGCACCCTGTAGACTGCGACGCGGTGAGGGCAGGAGCCCAACGTAGGGGTTTGGGGAAGTGCACATCTTCTTCTCCAGCACTAACAGTCCTCACGGCAATGAACAAAGCTGGTGCTTCAGCACGTACTCGTTTTGAGGCGCATTTTTTCTGGGAGCTTGCTACAGTAGGCATGATAAGACCAAAGAACACCCAAGCCCTAAGCCCACCTCAACCTCCTCCTTTTACATGCGCAGCTTATGTGATCCAAAGCACTCGTCAGGGGCGACAATGTGGTGCTGGGGCACTTCTATCACGCCTGAGCAGCAGTCAATCTCATTAGCCCATCCCTTGGGGAGTCAAAACACGTTGGAGATCATTAAGCTACACACTACCAACACAGGCAACTTAATTCTTGTCAGGCGGTCCTGCAAGTGCTTTGAAGCCATCGCGTGGAGCGCACAATAAAAAGACAGTGGAGATCGAAGGAAACCCGCCATACATGTAGGAGCTACTGCATCATGCAAAACACAATGCTATCGTGTAGTTATAAGATTGGCAATGTACATGTTGTCAGATATTGTCTTTTATATCGCTATAGTCTAGTACTACACAATATATACTGTATTCCAAGATCAGTACACTGTAGACCCTGCAGTACCTTCTCCTTCACAAGCGGCTGAAGGCTTCGTCCATCAAAACGTCACAACTACAACCCCTTCTTTATCAAAGTGAATGGGTGCGCTGCTTGGCATCCAGGGCCCACCAAATGAGCAAGGACAGATTTCTGGAGAACCAGAACTTCAAGCCCACATCTTGTATTTAGACATGAAATGTGACACAGCTCCACGCAAGACCTCGAAACATGCACCCCCAACCCGCTGAACACTGGCACCTGAAAGCCTTAGAAGACCAAAAAGAAATCAATCATGGAGGAGGCTCTCTTGGGCACTGGGTCCTCAATGTCGACCTGGACTACCTGATGGGCTTAGCACGACATCGGCTTTCCGGCAGGCTTCGAGCTTCGCAGTCTCGTTGACGGATGATTACCAAGCGTTGAGACCTCCTGTGAGCCTGGCGCCTGGAAATATTTTTGTTGAACTGAACCCTTTTTGGCTTCAAGGGCTCTCCCGCCTGCACGCTATCAGGCTCAGGCTTCGGCGCGCACACGTTATTATTTCCCATTGTCGGCGCAAGCCTTGCG